TGAGACAAGCTTTTAATAAAATACGGGACGATAGTCTCTTATTTCTTATTCTTACCCGCTCCTTATTATCTAATAATCAAATCATAACTAAGAGAAAATTGTTGCTATAAAACACGGTAACTTAATATCTACTGACTACATCGTAAAGACGGGAGTTCCTCAGGGTAGCGACCTATCACCTATACTCTACAATATATTTACCCATGACATTTTAAAAACTATAAATACCATTATAGCTACCTACGCTGACGACACAGCAATTCCCTATCGTCAAATAATGACCCTCAAATTGTAACGCAACTAGTACAAAGTCATCTCAATCTCATCTCTCCGAAGACTAAGCAACAGAAAATCAAATTAAAAATTAATCCAAATCAGTATAAATAACCTTTGCCTTAAACCGTGAATAATGCTTACTATTTATACTAAATAACAACTTCACTACACACAAACTCAATAAATATATTAGAATAATACTTACATGAAATGAACACGCGATAAATAAAATAAAACTATATAACACACGCTTTCACTTCGCTTCAGCTCCTCTGCCCAATTTTAAGATCATAATCCCGTTTCAAAAATAAAATACACTGGTCTATGAAGCCATTCTAGCTCCCAATTGTTCGCATGGCATACAAATATGGGAATAAGTTAAGCCGCTAAACATACGGCCACTAGAGCTTTTCAGTCAATTTGTATGTGACATATCACTGGATATCTATGATACGTCAGAAATCAAAACTTACATAAAGAACTAAATATTCAAACTCTCAAAAATCTAGTTCATCAATTATATAAAAAAATGTATAACAAACTGTCAAATAACAAAAATCCACTTCTTGAATATTTTCCCTGAAAATTCCTGGAGTTCCACCATAAGTTTAAAAATAAATAGGCCTGGAAACTTCCAAAAACCAAAAGAAAAAAACCAAAGTAATACCATATATATACAAACAATTAAGTATGTTCATTAACATATTTAGAGGTACTACTAATGAATAGTTTTTTTCAAAAGTGTACCCACGTAATGTAAATATCCTAAAAATTCAAAAAAATTACTTATCATTGTACGTATTGTTTAAGTACATATTGTAAATCTATGGATAAAAAAAAATAGTCTTATTAGGAGCAGTGGGCATAGCGTGATCTCGTCTCCGCGTTCGACGCGTGGAATACAAAAGCCTATGGGGGGCAAACAACAACAGTTATCGAACAAGGCTACCACATGGGTCGGGTCGAGTAAACCGAATGATTTGCAATGAAGCACGATCGCTTATACAACCCGTATTACGGTACACGGATCCACCGTACGGGAAATTCAACACTTAACATCAGAAAAACACTACACGGTCGGACAGCTGAGGTCGACACAGACCGCCGACGGTGACGAGACAGAAGAGGAGAAGCAGGAAAAGGATAAAAATGGGAACGTTCGTGTTCGTCCAACTAGAGGATACGTAGTTGTGGTTTACGTAACGATAGCGTTTTTCGACGAAACCGTGTGCGTGACGACCCAGCGGCGGTGGCGGCATGGATTCGCGACACGCGCGCGTATACTTTTTTTAATTTTTTTTCCACCACGACGACGGCTGCCAATCACATAATGTTGTTTTCGCCCGTCGCGAGATCTCCCCTCCCCCTCTTCGTCTTTCATATTTTGCACTCACCTCGTACCCCGTCAACAGGGTTATTATTTATATACGTACGCGCCATGTCGAACGAAACCACAGCCGACGCCGCGGCCGTCCACCGGGGGATGCGTGACCGAACCGATTACCAGGGCAAACTCCCTGTGCGACGCGCGTACGAAGGTTTACATAATAATAATAAATAATATCATTCAGTTATAATATCTGAATTCCACTAGAACTATCTTTCGGGCGCGTGCTCGCGCACACACCGTCCACGACAACAATGTTTATTACAACTCGACCTCAATGTAATATTATACGGTTTTAGCCGCGCGGCGAAGGACGAAGTTATTCTTATATATTGACGCACACCATCCCCTCGACCCATTCATGAACGGTACCCCGTGTCCCGCGGACAAAAATTTCCAGTGGTTGCTGTTTCTGCCATCGTTGTGGCGGTACACCTGGAAATTGTCGACTAAAATTTTATTTTTTTCTTACAAATCCGCAGTGGTCCGAATCGATGGTAGGGATTGACAGGATGTTAACGTTTTATGAAAAAACTTCGCTCCGCTTAAATGTGTAAATACTCACTGTTGTTCTAATTTTTAATCGTGATGCTATCGTCATGAAAACCACAGATATTTGAGAATTATGTAATTTTTTGATAAACGGAAAATACCTACAGGGATGGAAAATGTTAATTCAAACGCATACTTAGTTTTGTCATGATTTTATATTCACGCACACTTACATACGTGTATTGTGTTTGCCGTCTATGCACCTCTATCACTATCTTTCCCTGCAGGGCAATGTACAATATACTCTAAAGATGATTGAATACGATTCCATGTGTGACTACTGATTTGAATCTTGCACATCGTATTTCAATATATTATTTGACAACACGGCTTAGATTCGATATATTATAGTTCTGAACGTTGAAGTTATGTTGGAGTTTGCTGTCAAATGTTTGTTACGTAAATTTGAAATCTAAAAATTTACCTGTGAAAAATATGTTCCCATTACTAATAAATCAATAATTGATTATATAACCTCAATTATTGAGGTGTTCTTTCGACTGGACCAAAGCACATTATCCAAGACATTAAGGTAAGACATTAACGTTTTAATACATACCCCCATGATCGTAAATTTTTTTGACTGTCACAAAAAAAAATGTTGAACATCGTAATTTAAATATTTTTAATTAATAAACAATATAAATTATATTTACGGTTTTACTATGTAAAAAATTCCGAGAAGACGAAATTATAACTTGAATACCTTGGCTATAGGGAACATATGACCATTATTACTCGTTGTTGCACAGTAACACCATTGGTTATCGTATATTCATTCAACGAATACAATAAATTAACCACTAACATACGTGGTATTGTCTTTATAATTAACCAGATCGTACCACCCTGCTTGCATCTGTGCGCAGTCCATTAGGTAATTTTAGTATTATTAACTACAGTGTGCCAAAGAATTTCCAGTAGAGAACTGAGCAACGACGATTATACTTTAATAGTTATATTAATATAATTACTAATTATTATACTATACCCTCGAAATGTCTGTGTACTCGTTATATATGTATGTGTGTTTTCATTTGACAGTTTAATCAACTTTTATACATCTTCACTAAATCCACATTAATCCAACCTAACCGTTGTCCTTAACCAGCACTCGAGCGTCAAGTAAATGTTTAAAAACTATATTATGATGCAAGTTAGTTGAGTTTTAGGTCGTTCGACCACCTAACGAAAATAAAAGTTTACATTTTTTTTTATTGTATTAAATAACGTGTAACTCTTTAAATGTCATCTTAAAAAAAATCTGAAAATATTTTCACAAATTATCCATGTTATTTTTAACCCTAAATCGTGAACTTTTTCAGTTTATTTAAGTAAACAAATACACAAAAATGCGGTTCAGCCTTTATTCTAAAAAATGTTATAGAATAATTTAGTCGTTTTCTTAAATTAATTTACGCGTTGTTTCACTTTCCGTATAATAAAATAAAACTTTAGTTGAGTCAAACGTTATAACATTGTTATTATAATTTTAAATAAATAAATAAATAATTTACAAAATATTAAATATATAGTAAAGTACAGTCGAGTTATTGTAACAAAAAGAAATTAATTCGTAAATTTAGTATTTTCATCACATTGAAGTACGAATTAGTTTAAGTCAACATTTCTTCTTGATTCGCATTATTTGCATAAATTATGTAATACATTATTTTGTATATTATATGCATATTTATATAGATTCTTTAAAATATTCCTCAAAAAGATTACACTTGTTCGTTGGATAAATAGTTGTATTCGACCACTTTGAGTGATTTAAATAAATAATAATGCAAACCTGATGAAACCTTATTGGAAAATAAAATATTATATCGTTAAAATGACCATCGTGGAAAATAATCAGTACGGCTTTTCGGAAAAAATGAGATTTCTGATTATTGCAAGGCTCGAGGCTTACGTTATACTTAACGAACAATATAAGGATTACAATTGAATTCTCGATACTGCTTTTAAGTACCATGTAAAGCATTGCGCACGCAGGGCACAATGAGAGAAACTGAAACGAACCGATAAGCTTTCCAACAAAAAACCCTTACCTGAGCCGGTACATCAGACGAAATCAATAATCAACAAAAACATAAACTTAAACGGTTTCACGGATTTCCACGCCGCAGTTGTTCAGACATTATGTACATACTCAAAAGAGTGTTGTACAAAACACGATTTATGCGTAGTTGAATAACACGAGAGAACATTTGGACATTTAGTGTCGATGGTGTACAATTTTTAGGTCGAGACGATTTCTCTATTCATTTACGCTTTGAAATTTTCACACTAATATTTTAACGATTTTAACATTTTTTAACGTTTTTTTTTTAATTTTTTTATCGTCTACCAAGTCAAATCTGAATACTACTCAATATCGTATCTTCTTATTGTTTTTTTTTTCTATTTTTGAATAATATTGAACGTTTTCGGCAACATACCATTTCGAACATATTATTAGTGATGCGAATTAATTCGGTGTCTCCAAAAGTCCAAAAATTTCCGAATTTTTTTTTTTATCGATTGTAATAAATTATTTAAAATCTAGTTTTCAAATTATATAAACTACTATCATTACATTAAATGTATATATTTAAACAAAAAATATGTGTACTATGGTTTAATTATAATTTATAAAACATGTATAAAATAGTCCTAGTTCATATTTTCAAAATCCTAAATTCGGATTTTAAAACTTCGACAAACCCAAATCTTCTCCATCGATAATTATAATATTTTATTTTATATTGTAAACAAAATTATTTTTTTCTGATTTTAGCCGACATTTACGATAACTTCAAGAAATGCGTTAAACCCGATGATCTGAATGTCACGACCAACATTTTGGGAGGTGGTTGGTTGGAACACGGACAAAACTCCATAATCGTCGAAGGCGCATCAGTCGTGAGTATTAATATCGTACGATTACAATATTTCTAATATTTCGTTGAATACAGGCTCAAAAAGCTTTATTTTATTCGTAGGATTGTCAAAAACAAAATTATTTCGCATGGTATACGCGAAACAAATATCGTTAATTATGAAATATTTGACCTTTGTAACGTTCGAGAAATTGGCACATCTTAATGGCGTTGTTTGTTATACGTTTGAAATAATATCACAAGGACGAGTGAAAATTATTTTTATTTCGTTCTCCGAATGATAATCATTAAAATAACTGTCTGTCCGGCTGGTGGAAGATGGTAAAATAATTCTAATTGTCGGAATTCAAAGTCAAAATCTCTTAAATTTCATCTCGTTTTAACATATTCGTTCATTCTTGACTTAATCTCGATATATTTAACGTTGCTATAGATTCTTTGCTACGTCTTTATAATGAAAAACAAACACAATTATGTAGATTTAAGAATTATTTTTTTTTATAATTTTTGATACATGAAAAATAAGGTTAACCTACTAATAATTGCTATACAACATGCATTTTTGAATACATTTACTTCTCTCTTATAGAACATCATTAGCTTTATTCTAATGTTTTCGTTATGTTATTGATGAATAACACATACTATTAGCTACGCTGTTTTATGTGCTATTTATTTATTTAATTTTTTTTTTTTTTATAATTTTTGATGCATAAACTTTTTTATTCGTGTATTTTTTAGTAAAATTCGATATCACTTTTATTGAATATTATCACGTTTCAACATTTTTTATGACGTCCTAATAATGAAAATCATGTAGCAGCGTGGTTTTATGCATTTTTTGATTTTTGATCTATTATTGATATTAACTATTATAATTATTAATATTTTTAAGAATTATTATTATTATTATTTTTCTTGTAAATATGACTTTTGTTACTGTATATTATAAATTGCATGTTTTTATAAATATTTCATTAAAATATTTTGTTTATTTTGTATACTGGTTAATATTAGAATGCGTAAGTAGGTACTTTGGAATAGGTTTTATTATTTTTTTACAGAGATTTGAAAACATTTTGGGGGGACTATGCTCCTCCCTTCCCTAAGAGCATTACTGTCAAAGGCTGATCATCAAAACTGTAAAACTATATTATTTTAAGGACTGTATCTATATGAATATCATATTAACGTTTGTTATTTAAATCCCATAACGATGGATTTTTATTGATAAGTTATTACCTCTGAATTGTTTTTCTTAATGATTCTTGTGCAACTTTCGTATCATGAATTCAATAAATATAATTTATATTTGTAATGATAACCATGTTTACTTATTGGTTTCACTAATTTATTAATTTAATTATTTATAATTTATTATGCATGGTAAACCAACACAAAAATATAATGAATATTTATGCACACATTATTATTTTATTTTATTGCATTTTAAAACGGTAATATTAAAACATAATACGAATTTGTTAACTTTGATTTTATGATAGTGTAGAAGCATGTATGCAAACTCTAGAGAATTAATATAATTTATGCAACGAAAAAACTATTCTGGTTTAAGTAATAGGATGGTTATGAGAACATAACTGCCGCACAATATAATTCATAATAGTATACTTATAGACATAGACTGCTTAATATTGTTGGCAAAAAAAAAAAATCCATTAAATGGTATTATCAAAGTGGCCTACTGTTCGTCCCACTGGGTTAAGGGAAGAAAATTAGTTTCATTACTTTACCCCAGTGGTTTTCAACCTTTTTTGTTCATGGTACACTATTAAACATCTCAAGTTTTTGCGGTACACTCATGCACTTGACCACAACAAAAACTTTGGTGACGCGCTAAGATATCCAGTTGGGTTTAAACCACACTGTGTACAATTATACGAATTAAGCTTTTCGGCATTAACAAATAAAAAAAAAGCGAGAGACTCCTTTCCATTGATCAGGAAATACGTGTATGCTTGTCTTCAATTCTACTGTGTATCGAATTTTTATGTAAAAAACGACAAACTCAAGTTTCTCACTAATAATTTCAAATATTTTCTCTTTATGATAGAATATTCCTTTTTTATAATTAGGTCTCAAAATATTTGTTTTTATATTTTTTAAAAATTAATGTAATTAAATAAAATACCTACTGTTTTAAATATTGTATTATCAGCGTAATCACAAATATCAGACATTCTTCGCGGAACACCGGTTGAGCTAACCACTGCTTTACCCCATTATTTTTGGTTACGGGAGTTAATTCAAAATTCATTTCTATTTGGCTCGCAGGCTATTTTCAACTAATTGATATTATCGACCCCCAAACAATTTTTTTTCCGTGAATGGGTGAACATACATATTGTACCATTAGGTTTGCAAAAGATTATTTTTATTATTATTATTATAAATATATTTTATCATTTTGTGGATGACGTAAGCTGTTTGTAAAACCGACTTATCGGACTACAACGTTAATGTAAATGTATTGTATATGAGATGTGGTGACGATAAACTGTATAAATTTACCGAAAAGTCTCAATCGTAAAAATGTATAACATGAGTACGTATACAATTAATGTTTGTTTTATTGTTACTAATCGTGTTACCTGTTATTAGTTTTTGATTGTTGTATTTATTTATTTATAATTATATATGTATTAACAAATTTTATTTTTTTCGATACTTATAGGCATTATGTAACCCAATAAATATTAATAAACTCATGTTTGATCTAGTTGAGAAGTTTAAATTGAACAGATGTTTTTCAGATTCATTTTCAAATAAATACGAAACCAATATATAAAAAATAAATTTCCGTGTTGACGGTTATACCTAGTGAAGTAGTGGGCTGTATAGGAAATCGTAACTTATTGCCAGTCGAATGACTTTTCATAAAAATACTTTTTAAAAAACATTCATAGAATTTTAGTTGACATTCCAAAATATTTTTATTCCCTGTCTGAACATATTATTCCATCCGATTTGCTACAGCACATGGTACATGTAATCATTTATAAACATACCTTATTTTTTTAATAAACTGTTATTTACATATGGTTTTCATATTACTGTTTATTTTTATTTTTTTGCATATGACACACTCGAAAATTGAAGTCAACATATTCTCTCTCTGTGATTTGTAGAAAACTAGTAGTTCGCCTACTTTTAAATGTAAAATATTAAATTATATTCAGATCTACTACGATCATCATAATTTAAAAATTAGTGATTTTTTTAATAAAATATGATAAATTTAGGTAAAATTAAACTATACGAAATGCACAGGACAAATAAAAATCATTGTTTATGATGAATTATGTATAAATTTAGGGTGTTTTTTTCCGAATGCAACAAAATCTGTTGTCTTAATTATTTTTTCTTTTTTTTTTTACTTTTAAACGATTTATATTTTATATTTTATTTTTTGTTTATTATTTATATTTTATTCATCATACAATTTAAAGTAAAATTAGCATAAATTATACATATTACCTATGTTTATATTACATATTCATGTAAGTCCCACGAGGGTACATTGTAATTATGATACTTATACCTATGAATAAATTATAATTCTACCTGCTGATCTTATAGACTTCTTCTTAATTATCATATGAGAGGTGAATAAGTAAACCCTCGGGGGACACCCTGTACACTATATGATAGTTAATTTAGTAGTTTAAAATATTTACGAATGCGAAATAGTCCAACAATCTCATAACACAATTCTTACCCCTATCTATGAAACGAAAAAGCCACACGTAATATACAATATCAGCTCATGTGATCGGGTTCATCAGAAAGTTTCTGGCAGCTGAATAACTTTGAAAAACGGTGTTAGGGCTCACAGTTGTTATATTTTGATGTTAAACAGATTATGATAAGTGCAATGTGCACGCCTGCAATTATTACGAATACCAGGAAAAACATTTAATAAATTAGGAATGATAATCTTACGATTGGTTTTACGCAAACGGAATTGTTTTTAGACTTTTCATATTTTCAAACACATTTTAATATAACAGTGAAATTGCGCGTCGAAGTGATTTTTCCGTGAAATTGAAAATATGTGTCATGAGGGAAATCAAATTGGCCGAGTTTTATGTAATACACATAATTTATAATTCACACGGTTGATACGCGAGTCGATATTGTAGTTATTTTATTTTATAATAACTCTGCGTATTTCTTTCTACAGTCGAATCATTTGTATTACAATAACAACATTGTAGAAATTCAAAGTTATTATTCGAAACTATTGGGAAATACAATATAGTACAATGAGTGATTTATTGAATAAGAATTTATATTGTGCGAGTATGAGAGCAAAGGAAAAAAAACTAAATCACTTTTTGGGTTTCAATCATTATAATAATAATTTGTTTGCAAGAGGCTTTCGTGAACTTACGCATTAAGGCCACTTCCACCACCACCACCGCCTGTGGTCCCCGTAAAAACCCTATCGTATACCCTGTCCCGTAAAATGTTGCATAATTCCAACGACTGCGCACCGTGATTGATAGTGTCCGATGAAAATAAAACCCGGGCAAAACACTGCATTTGTCCGACAGTCCGTGGCCACGAGTAATTTATCAACATTTGCCCGTTATACCGCTGCAGTATCTGCAGCAGTGTACGTCCGTGCGTATTATAACACAATGGTGTTGTTCGCGTCCTTCAGTTGTGATTCAAATTGTTTTGTTTCACCCTCGCTCTGATTTCCGCGTCCGTAAATATATACATATTTCGATAGAAATCGCAAAAGATTTTTGACCGACGGGCTCGACGGAAAAAAAAATAGTTTTTCACCTTTTGTTCGTTTCCGTTCGTCTCTTCTGCACAAGCTAATATCTCTCGGTATTATTAAGCGTACGTTTTACATCCAAATAATGTGATTGTTTTCTTCTGAGCACTCGGGCGGAAAATTCACTGCTAGGACGCCGCAATTGATCATTCTGAAATACGTTTTGTTTCTATTATACGCGTAAACGCTTAACAGCACTGATTTCAAGATTG